CGACCTGCAGACCCGCAGTGGACAGCCAGCCCGGGCGGGACCACACTGCTCAGGGCTGTCAGATGACAACTCTGAGGTCTGAAAGCTGACACTCAGCTCTCAGAAGAAATGGGGGGGAAATAAGCTTGTTGACTTCTTGCTTAAAGTATTTTCTTGTTCTTAACTCATGTTCTTATGTCACTGGGCTAAAAAGGAGAGAGAGAGAGAGAGAGAGAGAAGGTGAGAGAGACAGAGAGAGAGAAAGAGAGGAAAAGGGAGAGAGAGGGAGAGAAGAGAAGAGATATGACTTTCCTTGAATGATCTGTTTAACCTAAGCCAGAGGAAAAAAAAGAAAGTCATTAATTACTTATGTGAGCTATTGCTTCAGAAAGACAATAAACCTGCCCGGTCGCCATGGATATGACATATTTGCTCTGAAAACAACACAATAATTAGCAAAGGGGAAAGATACAAGGAGAATATGCAAACTCCTGAGTTTAAAGCCACAGTGCTCTTTTTACTCCTAAGCCCCTGCTCTGTTTGCAATCCAAATCAAACAAAAATTTAAAATATAGCAAAGAGGGAAATAATAGGAATGACTCCTCTCTCCTCTTCTGAGCTGAAAGGCAACCACCATTCCACCCGCCCCCTCCAAAATAAGATAATATAAAAGAGAAGCAGGAGGGCTGAAGGGTGTGGGGGGGTCAAGTATTGCCTATGTTTTCTTTCCTATAACAGGGGTGGAGTCTTGGGTTGTGTGTGTGTGTGTGTGGTTTTATTTTAAGTGTACTCTTATTTAGTATTGGACCTTCTGGTAGGATATAAATTTATTTGTGAAAGCCAAATGCCCTGTATGGCTCACCCCTCCCCAACGTAATGGAAATGTGAAATGGGGGGGTGGGTCTAGTTGAAGAAGCAAAGCTGTCTATTCAGAGAACACCAGCTCTGTACAGGGACAGCCACTCCCCCTACCTCCAAGAAAATGGAACCTGGGCCTTACTTTAATATTAAAAATGCATTAAATGGTTTTACCTACAACTTAGTCCCGGAGGATCATTAGGAATGCAATCGCTTTGTATCATATCTGTCAGCATGATAAATATCTGAGCCAGAGTAGGTTCGCAATTTTTCAGTGTCAAAAACCACGATAATTTTTTTCTGCTTTAGTTTCTTCATTCACTGTATCCCCCCCAAAAAAAAAATTCACCAAAGTCACAAGTCTACAGAAAAAATACCTGAGCAGAGAAGAGGACAGAAGAAGGAAAAGTTGATACACTCTGACACACCAGACAGAGGTTACTGGTATTCTCTTAAAAAGCAAGGAAAATAGGACTTTTAAATATTTGTATATTTTCAAAAAAATAAATAAATTAAAGCACTCCATTAACTTTGAGTAAAAACTGCTTTCCCCCTCTTCCCAGAGGCTAATTTTCCAAAAACAGATGGTCAGGATCTAAAAGAGAAGCAAGTATACCTCAACCCCCACAGGCAGAGAAATCTAACTTTGAACTTCTTTTTAAATTAAAGTGGGGGGGGGCTAGATAAACTATTAATAAGTCTGAAAAATGAACTGAGTTTTGTTTTTCTTATTCAAAAAATCCTTTAAACACAAGGAGAGCAGATATAAATGGGGAGGTTCATATTTAACTGACTTTTCTATTTTTTTAAACAATAGTTGTTTTTTTTTTTTTAAAGATTGGACTCTTTGATCTTGAAAGAATTTTGCTCTTCTATGATGGGGGGGAAAGGGGTGGTGGTGAAATGATCTGTTTTAAATGATGATGCAACTTAGGGATCAAAGCCTTCTCTTTCTGCTAGCCATAATAAGCTGTACTTGCCACAAAGCGTGAGTCTCCCGGGCTCCTCTCCTTCGTCAGAAGGAAGTAAAATGCGCAGAGACTCAAAGCAAGACTCGAAGTCTCAGCAAGGTGCAAAGTCTAAAAAACAAAACAAAACAAAAAAAGGCAGGGGGAAAAAGAGGGAGGCACTGCCCCTTTAAACGTTTTAGTGCATATGGAGTTTGATTTCTGAAAGAGATCAGTTTAACATCTCCATAGAAACCAGCAACAGATTATCATCAACAGAATAAATAACTAGTCTAATAAATTAAACAGGAGGCATAAGATCGCTGGAAACCTGATTACTGAAGTTCAACAATATTCCCCATAAACTCTCGTTAACCGCCTCTAAGGTGGCTAACAAGATGGGGGGGGGGGTCATCTCTCCAATTCTCTGTGTTCCTGGGAGAGAGACGGTAGCCGCGGCCGGGAAGGGAGAAGTTCTCTACAGAATCAAGAGCTCCAGAAAGGGGCAAACCGTAAAAGTCAAAAGTTTGGCAACTGGGAAAGCGGCTGGGGACCGGGGGAGTTGGTGCGGGTCGCGGGAGACGGCGCAGGTCGCGACGACCGCCCCGGACGCACCGCCTCTCAGCCACCAGGGCGCAAACCCGGCGCTTTGCGCTCAAGCGCGGAATGGCCCAGCGCCCCCTCCGGGCACGTGGAGCGCAGCCCGGGCGCAGCCCCCGGGGACCAACTACCCCCCCCCCACCAAGCCCGGCGCAGCTGCTCCTGCTCAGCCGGGACAGCTCTCTTTAGGACGGCGGTGTGTGTGTGTGTGTGTGTGTGTGTGTGTGTGTGTACGCGCGCGCGCCCGCGCGCGTGTCATGGGGGGGGGGGGGAACCAATGTTACCCAGCGGTCTGTTTTCCAGTCCTCTCGCACGCTCTGCCCGTGCGCCTGTACTCGCTTAGAGGCGTCCTAAATTTACCAACTTTGGCCAACAACTACCCGATCTTTCTCCCCCACCCGCACCCACGTCTGCGAGTGTACAGGGTGTGGGCGCACAACCACACACACTGAGGGCCGTGTCCCCAGACTCCGCTGGAGCAGCGACGCAGACCCCCGCCAGTCTCCCAGATCCAGCGGGGTTTGGGGGAGCTCCGGCCCAAAAGAGGAGTATTACTGCTGCTTCCTTGGTGGATAAATTTTACGCACAGGCACACGTACCGGACCCGCACCTTCCCAGCTTGATGGGAAGGAGGTCCACGTCGCACCCAGGCCCGCTTCCCAAGCTGAGCCTGTGTCAGGAAAAACTTATGCGGAGGGAGAAGCGGCCCCCAGCCTCCCTCCGCACTCCACTCCTCCCCCAACTCGGGATCCGGGTCTGGGATGACTTGGAAGAATCTGCGCCCACCCCCCAAGAGAAAAATCTATTATTATGATCTTAATCTACGCCCCCAAAGTGTCCCTCCCGCTGTGATTGACGGCGCATACACCTGTTCCCCTCGCCGAGGAGCTTCCAAAGCTGGGGACAGATATTCGCCCAACCGCTCCGCAGCCGCCAGCGCCCGTCGTCCGCCCGCCCGCGCCGGCAGCCCCCGCCCGCGGCCCCAGCGCGCCCCTGCCGGCACCTTGCAACCCCAGAGGCCGCCCCCCTCCCCTCCCAGGCCCGACTCGGCGGCCCTCTAGCTCCGGGCCGCGCTGGCTTCGAAAAGAGAGAGAAAGAACAGAAAGCAAAACTTCCTGGCGGCCGACGGTCATCAGCTGCACATTCTGCAAATGCCACCGAGTAAAAATAAACCGGCCGCCGCTCCGCCCGGCCGGCTCACCCCGAGCGCACGACTCGGCCCCCTGCCCCGGCAGCAACAGGACTATCCGTCTGACCCAATCTTCCATTCCCGCGCACCCCTTGCAGCCCCGCTCCCCAACACTATTCCGCCAGCCACCATGCGCTCCTTTGCCAAGAAGCCAGAACCCCAAAGACGGGGTGGTCCAACCATTTCCCCTTTAGTGTCCCCTGAGCCCAAACAAGCTACTCTTCTCTCTGTCCTCCACCAGGTGCCTATTTCAGCCCTGTGCTCTCGGATTCAGGGTTCTTCCTCCCCAAATGCTAAGCCCCCAGATCACCCTCTGCCCACCTTGGAGCACAGACCCTTCCAGACCCTCCTCCCACCGCTGCAGAAGCCCCCGGGATCGCATCGCTCCACCCGCTAGCTGGCCTGCCAGGCCAGCGTCCCACGTTCCCGGGCGCAACTTCTCTCCCCGCGCACACAACAGCCGCCGCAACTCCCCGGAACTTTTTCCCAGACCCAGGCGGGCTTCGGCCAACAGCCCAGCGGCTTTGAGTCGGTGCTTTGACTCTCTGTGTCCGTGCCCAGCGTTGCCAGCCTGCGCCCGGGGAGGCTGGGGGGTGGGGGAGAGAGCGAGAAGCGCCACTTGCCGCGCCTGGAGCAGCGCACTTGAGATAAACTTCCAGGCAAAGATGAAAAAGGGGGCGCCGCTCCCCCCATCCAACAAACCTCTTGCCTTGGTTTTCTCATCCCGGGCACCCCTTGGCACCCTGAGCCTAAGCGAACACTGCCTACCTCTGCCGGAAGCACACACACCCCGGTGTCGGGGTACAAGAGCCGGCTGAAGGTGATCCCCACCCGCCCCTTCCCTTGGGCAAAGTCTTGCAAAGTCACCCCAGCGCCCCTCACCCCTGCCTCCTTCTCTGCCCTGGAGAGCGCACGACCCCCTTGTCGCTGGGGGTTGGGGTGAGTAGGGAAAGGAATGATCACCCAGTATTGGCGAACACCTGCCCCCCCCCCGGGAGCCCACAGCGCGGGGGGCGCCCCCACCATATTTGCAAAGTCGTGCACTCGAACCTGGCACCTCCCCCTCTTCTCCCCTACCCCGCCGCCCCCTCAGTTGGAGTAAGTGACCCTCAGGAGCAGCAGCCCTCCCCTCCCCAGGAGCCGCGCGCCGGGCATTCCCCTGGCCACAGCGGGCGACGCGCCACCCCATGCCGGGGTGCCAGCCCTCCGTGCCCCCTGCCTCCGCACGGCCGGAGTTGGGTGGCAGCCGCCGCTCGCAAGCTGTCTGGCTCTCTCGCTCGCTCGCTCGCCCGCTCCCGGCTGCAAGCGGCAGCCCCGGGAGTGGGGGGCTGCACCCGGGCAGGGGGCGAAGCGGAGAGGGGCCCCGAGAGGCCCGCGGAGCTGGGGAACAGGGGAGCCCGCAGCGGAGGGAGCGCCGAGTCTCTTACCTGCACTTGGGGCGGCTTTGGGTGACTTTCCAAGTCCGGGGGAAAAATGTGTGTGTGTTTGGGATGGAGCGCCGCGGGCGCGCATGCGCTGCCCAAAGTTGCCGGATCCCGGATTTTTCGCTCCCAGTCTCCGCTCTCGCCCGCTGTGATTATGGAATTCTCCGCGGCCGAGCGGGCGAGTGGGTGGCATGCAAAACCCGGGCCGGATCGCAGGGCCAGGTTCCGCTCCACCCTCACACCCCGAGACCTTCCCCTCCCGGATTCTTCCCACCCACCGCCCCGGCTGGGCTCGGCGTGTGCGCAGCGAGACGCGGCCTGCAGAGCAGCTTCTGAGCGCGCCGCTCCCTTTTGCGGCTCCCAAAGGTTTCCACACCCCGCTACTGAGTGGAGTTGAGGTTGGGGCAGAAGAGAGAAAGGATGGGGGTGCTTTACTTTTCATCTGTTCCGAACCCCGAGAGACCCCGAGCTTGGTTCCCACTTTTCCACTTGGTTCTTTGCAAGTGAAAATATTAGAATCGTCGAAACCAAAGGAACGCAGTGTTCTCACTGTTGGATGTCCTCTTTGCACTTATTCTTTGCAAGGGGGTTTTCGTTCGATCTCTTGTGCAAGAAGTAAATCCTACGTGAGTAAGAAAGGCTGTGCAGAATGAACCTTACACGGGGAGGGGCAGATAATGAACATTAAAACGAATAATATTGCAGAGAGTGAAAGGACCCAAAGAAAATAGAACAAGGCAGTAGAGCAGTGTCTCTGGAGAACTACCTCCCAAACCCAGCTCTCAGAGAGCCTCTTTGAGGGGTACTGTAATATTCCACCAAAGGAAAACCCACTCCTCCTCACGCCCACCCTTCCCACCTCCCAGTTGGCTTGAGTTGGCTACTCTGAGTTGAGCTTAGGGGTCAGCATCTGTCGAAACCCTGGTCCTGCCTTTCCCAGCCAGGCCACCCCATCCCAGGACTGAGCTACTCAGGGTACCTATTTCCCTTCTGCACAAAGCCAGGATGAAAATAATGTGAGACCTTCAGAAAGGGGGAGAACACCTGGATGATGAGATCAAGAAGAAACTGACCATGATAGTAAACTAAATAGATGAATGATCAGCTGAATAAATGAATAAAAATTTAAAGTATGGCCCACAGCTTAGAGATGTGCTCGACACCATGCATTAGACTAAGAGGAAATGCCACAGGCTGGTAAAACATTGCCGTGGGCTGGGAGACTTGGGGGCCTATTCTGCAAGGCTCCAGCCAAGCTCTCAGCACTGGAAGTGACCCCACAGCCTTGCGTAATGGTCCACGACAGACATCTGCTGGGATGTGTTCCATGCCCTGCCTTAAGCTGACAGTTAATTGGTCCAGCGGCAAATGGACAGAGCGTTGGACTCTCTGGCCCTCTGGCCCTGAAGTGGCAGGACTTGCCCTATCCCCTAATGAAGCCTGCACATTTGGGCATGGAGGCAATCAGGCTCCTTGGGTATGCAGTGTCAGCTGCTGACTTCAGAGGGGCTAGGAAAGAAACCAGCTCAAAAAACCTAGCCCCTAACTTCCTGGAATAGGTCTGGGGATCGGTGCAGAATTTGTTCATACAGGAAGGCCAGAATTAGGGTTTAGACACCTGTCAAGTCCCTCCTCACCCCCACAATTAACAGAAAGCAGCAACACATCAATGATGAGCAGACCCCATGGACTACGGGCCTGCTTCTCTCCATTCCTACCCCCCACCATCAAAGGCATCCTTAATCCCCAGGGGCTGGGTGCTGCTCCCTCATCTATAAGACCCTTGTACTCAGTGATGGCAGAGACTCCAAACTCAATCCTGCCATTCCTCAAGAGAAATTGAGAGGTGCCAAAGTTGGCCTTCTAACTTTTGGCTCGCAGCTCACTCCATTCCTGAGGCAGTGTCTAGAAGCAGTGAACAGCTCGGGATTTGGGGTCAGTCCCCAGCCACTGACCAACAGGGTGACCTTGAGTAAGGCATTCGACCCCTGCATGCCTCAGTTGTCTCAACAATAAAATGGGGATAATAATAGTACCTACTGCCTGTGATTGAGAAGCTAAAATGAGTTAATGCAAGAAAAGGGCTCAGGCCAAGACACTGATCAATAAGTGCTAGTAATTGTCATTGCTCCTGGGGACATCCAGTGCTCCCTCTACTTCTCATTTTTTTCCTGTCCTCTCTGCTTTCCTTCTTTTCCATTTTTTTCCCTCCCCCTCCAGCAACCGTCCTTCATGCCTTCAATCATCTGGCCAGTGTCTGCTATGTCCCAGTAAAGGGCGGGCTCTACCAGTGGTGGAGACAAGGCTGAGCCAGACAGGACCCTGCCCGGGAGAGCTGGTCCCAGACTTGGCTAGCTTCTCCAGGACTGTCCCCCTTTCTCTATCAGGCTCCCCCTTTTCTACTGCTGTAAGCCCCCCCCAACTCTTTTCCACCCTCCCTCCCTACAGTATCACCGAGTTATGTCTCACCACCAAACTTACCTTAAACTACTTTACTATTTCCTCCATTTTTTGGGTCAGATGCTTCCCAACCCCCTCTCCCCCAGGAGACTTTCAGCCTTTTCTGGGAGACCCTCACCTCTGGGGAGCGGAAACAGCACCGGGCTGGAGGAGCAAAGTGAAAAATGAAGTCTCCTCTGGCCTCCCGACTCCAGAGTACAAGGAAGCAGGGGCTTGGAGAGGCCTCTGGCCTCCATCCCTTCTTGCACCTCCACTGCTTGGTTCTTCCCCAGCCCCCGAGGGGACTGAGACCACATGCTCTTTCTCCTTATTTTCTACAGTTTAGTATTTCCTGAGCTCCCCCTAAAACCAAATCCCAACTCTTAATGGTCAGCAAGTCCTCCAACATGTGGTCACTGCATGCTCTGGGCCTCACCTCCCTCTATCCTTCCCCTTGGTCACACTGGCTTCTTCTATCTTGGAAACACCAAGCTTATCCCCACCTCAGGGCCTTTGCACTTGCTGTGCCTCTGTTTAGGAAGCCCTTTTGGCAGCCTTCTCACTTCCAGTGGAACTCCGTTGATTGTTCCTCTCTCCCCTCCTAGGAGGGCTTGTTTTTGTTTATTTATTTTTTTCTTTTGGCAGTACTGGAGATCAAACTCAGAGCTTCTCAATGCCAGACAACTGCTCTACAAACTGAGCTACATCCCCAGCCCATTTTATTTTTTACTTTAAGACAGGTTCTTGTTAAGTTGTGCAGGCTGGCCTTGAATTGTGCTCCTCCTGATCCTCCTGCCTCGGCCTCCTGAGCGCCTGGTAGTATAGACAGTGTCCATCTCCCTGAAGGAGCTCCCAGTCTTTCTCTCTCCCTTTATCCTGATCACTTGTCTAACAGGGGTTTCAGTCATCAGTTCCCATGTCCCCTCTCCAGCTGCCCCTCCTAGAACGGAAACAACCTACAGAGAGACTGTTCTGTGTCCCCTCATGCCCTCACACCTCCAACAGTGCCTGGCACGTCACAGGCCCTCACTGTATGAATTGGGTGCTGAGGCAAGATAAGTCCCTGCCTTCCAGAGTGCCTGGGCTCCAGGGAGAGAATGACCAGAAAGGGCCTAAGACAAAGTTCTGGGGCCCCCTGGACTTGGTAGAACCTGGGCATTGCCAGGTAGCTGCAGTGGCCCTGCCAGGGTTTTTGCTCCCTGGCATTTGGCTGGAGTTTATGGTGGGGAAGTAGGTGGCTCTGTAGAACTGTAGCCCAGCAGAGGAGGCTGCACAGGTGGGAGAGAAGGTGACAGTCGTGGACCCACCCGGGTCCTTTAAGTGGGCTGCCTGTACTAAGTCTCTAGAGAAGACCCCCGTGCGCAGCCACCCTCCCCCCCATATATATATATATATATATATACATACCACTCTGAATGCAGATTCTGTGCCTTCATCCCAGAAGCTCAGGAGCCAAGCACCACACCCAGCACCCAGGAGCCTCTCGATAATTGACTGGAACAAAGAAATTTAAGTCTGTTTCAGTTGGTGTCAGTGGGAAAGGCTCCAAAGTAATCACAGCTCAGCTTCCTGGTGAGAGTTTTTTTTTTTTTTTTTTTTTTTTTTGGTTTCTAGTTCTCTCTGGCGATGGTAAGCAAAACCTGATCGTACATCAATCGCCAATATTTATTGAACGGTCTTGCTGCACCAGGCACCAGGCTAAATATTTGCATCATCCCATTAGCCTCTCATAACAACGGATGATGTGGTGAACAATGAGGAACATATACCCATGACACAGATGAGGACACTGAGGCAGGCAATCTGACTCCCCCAGGGCCAGCTGCTTGGGCAGGGAGGTAACAAAATTCTCACTTCCCAACTTACGTCATTGCAGAGAGCGTTTTTACCTCCATGCCGTCTCATGAGTGAGTAAACCTGGGGCTGGAGATGCAGCTCAGGGGTAGAGCACTTGCTTACCGTCCCCAGCCTGGAAAGAGAGCCGGAAATGAAACCTAAATGTGAGTCCCGTGGGGAGAGGAGGAGGGGGAAGCAGAACAAATCTGTCCTTTAACTGTAAATCTCATTTCAATCTCGTAAAAGACAAATGGAACCAAAGAAATCACAGGGCAAAGCATCAGATCTTATACACAGTAAACACTCGAGACACTGGACAAAGGAAGGCTGTTTTCAAATTTAGAAATGGCCAACAGGGAGCTCACTCCCCTCTTGCCTTGAGTGGGGTCTGTGCTTGGGGAGTTGGCTGTGCCTAGCGTGGTGCTGGTATCACAGTAGGTGCTCAATGCATGCTTAGTGACTGAGTAATTAAACAAGTGCCTGAGAAAAGTGATTATGGTGATTACTGGGCAAGTTGTAATTAAAAAAAAAATAGCTGAGTTCATTCATTTTACTTACAAATGTCTCTCTGGGGAGTGTCCTGGGGAGGGAGGCGGGGGACAGGAACTTGTTCCCAAACTCTTAAGCTGGGTTCTCAAACCCCATCCAGGCTGATGAGCGTTACAAGTCCTTCCAATTCAAAATTCACTTATTCTTTTTGCAAAGTACATAATTATTTGTTTCTTCCAGCATACACAATATGTATTTGTTGTAGGAAATTCAGAAAATACAGATCCACAGGAAGAAGAAAATTTAAATCATCTTTAATCCTACCCCCCCACCCCCGTGAATAATCACTGTGGATATTTTCATGTATTCCCTTTCATGCATTTTGGGTTGTTTTTT